CTTACACATTTTTTCTAATATTTTTATTATTTTAAGAAATAACTTTGCATATTTGTTCATCACTCAATTTCCTATCAGCCTACCATATTTCATGACCATCTGATTGATAGTCACCATGTTATAGCACTTTAAAGAACATTCCCGGTGGCCAATATTGGGCTGAAGACCAACCTGCACATGTCGTCCAAAATACCCCTACCTATGGGGATATGGCAGAGATAGAGTGTATAATAATGACCCCAGGACAATTGCAGACCTCAAAAGTGAGATTATCTGTATCATTCAGGCCATACCTGCTGAGGAATGCATTTGGATCATTGACAGCTGTGCAGGTTAGCCCCCAGCGCGATGATGGCCAAACCTGAAGCATGTTGTTCAAAGTGCTGTAAAATTGTGACTATCAGTCTGATGGTCATGAAATATAGTAGGGTGTTAGGAAATTGAATGTTTTACAAATGTGTGAAATATCAGGGAGTATTTTTCTTAAAATGACAAAGATATGAGGAAAATGCAGGGTTTCCGTTTTTTTACCACCCTGTACTTTCCATAATCCATATATAGTGTATAACATTTACATTTGGAAATTAATAAAACGTTAAAAACTGAGAATGCTTCAATAATTAATAACTTTCAAGAAATGGTGCCAACGTTTTGAAAATCATTTTGTTCAGTTGTAACCTATTCATTTTTCTTTTTGATATTCACTAGTGGGGTTCGATTTTGGATAATGGGTAATCAATGGGTTCCATATGACATCATATATTATATATATTACTAATATATAACATTGTCATTAAACCATTTTAGTGAGAAATTTCGTGACCTTATATATTACTAATATATAACATTGCCATTGGACCATTTTAGTGAGAAATTTCGTGACCAATATATTTTCACATTGAGAGACCAACAATTACCAATTCAATTAAAGGGCGGCGATCGACAATTAACATTGATTAATGATCTAATTTATATATTTTGTACTTCTGCGAACTACAACACCAGGAAAATCTTGAGTTGCATCACATGATTTTTCGAAGTTCTCTTATGATAGGTAGATCGGAGTAATGACGTCATAACACAGGTACAACAAGGAAATAGTGATTTTAAAAATAACGAGAAACTCCTAAATCATTATTCAAGAGGTAAGTTAACTGAGCAAGCCACAAAATCACTAAAACTGAACGGTAGCCAATTTCACGAGAAATTGATATGTTCACATACTTTTTCAACTTTTAATTACATTTTATATATTTTAAATTTTTTACATCAGTGGTCAACGAAGTTTCGTGTATTTTAAATCTTCATATTCAATATACTTTTTATATTAGGTTATATTGAACAGTTTTTGCAACAGTGTAACGATTAAAGGATAGCAAAATTTGGATTTCGAATGTAATGAAATGGAACTAAACACTGGATATTATCTCTATCGTCCGATTATTTAGTAATCTGTAAGTCGAATTCAGGACAATTTCACGACCTTCTGACCTCTGAGCTGATAACGGGTCATTTATTTTTAGAATTTTCATTTGCTTCTACCTAAAAAGCATATTTTTACGACGCAGGGACAAATTGAAAACTACTTGTTTATTTTAAAAGTAGGCTTCTTTAAGCCATGTCATGGTTGTCGATGTGTGCAATTACAGCATCAACAATTGTTTCTAGCCAGCCGATGCGAAATCTACGTTTTATTCCCAAAGACTGATAAAAAGTAGAGGAAATGCCTGTAATGAAAATTTTAACAAAGTGCGTTCTGTAATTGAACAATACGTTTTAATTAAATATTAATATCATTGTACCAAAATCGTAGTTTGAGGATCGAAATGGGTTAAAAGCCCATAAAGGAGTTTTTGACAAAGCGCGTTTTTGTATTTGAGCAATGAATATTTTAGGTATATTGTCATTTTTACCAAAATCGCAATTTGAGCATCGAAAGTCGAAACCAGTTATCATTAATTTAAAACGATTTGACCTCTTTTTAAACTCATCGTCAAATTTCGAAATTGTTTTTTTTTAATATAGAATAAATTAAAAAATTAAAGATGACCAAAATGATAAGCAGACAAACTTTTGGGGATCTAAGGTCAAGGTTAAAATCGTCATTTTCTTTGTTCTAGCGAATATTACACTATACTTTCATAATTTTCTTTAAAACTGATCGACAAGGAAGTCAGGAATAATCTGGAATCTTTATAAACTCTGTTCAATTTCGAATTCACTATTCTAGTTATTTATTATAATAGTCAGAAATCTGGAATCTTTGTAAACTATATATTGATTATCACTATTCTAGTTATTTACTCACGCCCGGTGATCGTACAAAATGGATGGAGGGGGAATAGGCGATTTCTGCAAGAAAACTCAACAAATGGAAGATTTATTTTTTCAAGAGAAAATTTACGATTGAATTAAAAAATGAATAGGCGCAGTGCATGGCAAAATATGTTAGGTCACCTAGTGTTTTTTTTAACTGATACCCTTCTAAGATATGAGGTATAAGGGACGCTATTATCACAATACTAATGGCATTGCTCACTTTTTAAAGTTAGTATCTATGCGTTATAAAAAAATAATCGTAATAAATTAATATAGGATGGAGGGGATATAAGTAATTATTATATCACTATCTAGCTAGCGACAGTATGATTGGTCAAAACCGGGTCAAATGTCGTGGAATATCTGGCGATATTCAATGGCAATGCTAATCAGATAAGACAACCGTGAGATATCTAGCGATATCCCACGCTCCCGGGAATTTTCAAAGGATTTGTTTTCGTTCAGTGTAAATGATTTAGTTCAGTGTAAGTCAAAATGGCAGACTTAATGACTTAATAATATAAAGGATATCTAGCTAGACAGTGATATAATAATCGGGCTTCGTGGAATATCACTTGTGAAAGATGTACAGGTATTCACCTCAATAGAGTGAAATATTTGTTCACTATTGAGATGCGGTGCAAGAGATGTTACGTCATGACCAGAAGTACTCCGAATTGCTCCATTTCAATCTTTATTTAATATTTTTAAATCTTGAACTTTACTCCACTCGTATTGCATCTTAATTGCATTGTATTTCTATTTCAGATATCAAGAATTGATATTTGTTAAAATGGCCACCAGTAGGGATATCAAAATAGATTTTAGGGACGGAGAAAGAGAACAATCCGCGATTTACGAAACTCTACCCGAAATAGAAGAAATCGATAGAGTACATATACATGTAACCAAGGACAGAACGGAGGATTTCATGGATGACGCTAAGTATGTCTTTATATATTCATGATTGCATAATTTACACGTCATTTGCGAATTTTTTATTCAGTTTCATTCATTAAAATTTTAATGAATAAAACTGAATAAAAAATTCGCAAATGACGTGTAAATTATGCATTTCAAAATACAAATACAAATAGCGGCTGTGTATTAAAACATTAATAGCCGCGTCTAAATACATTTTGATACCTACCTTATATATGGTCACAGGTTTATAAGAAAACTAGTTTAAAAGAAACAAGTGGGTGCTTGATAAGGAGGCATAAAAACATTTTTCAAAGAAATTCATTGGAAATACCACGTATTTTTATTTATATGTACAGTTGTGATTGACATTCAACTTATTCTAAGTTTTATTATTTAGGAAGAAACGAACACCCATGAAAATCCTGATATACAGAATAATCTACATCTTGGCAAGCGTTGGAATTGTGGTTGGGGCAATGGTGACATTCTATATTCTAAACATCAGACTGTTGACTATCAACATGGCAGTTCCGCTCTCATGGGTATTAACTGCATACGGGGTAGTTACGTTGACGCATTACATTTTCGAAATGCTTTTCGCCCTTGTCAACAAGTACAAAATGGACAAACTTGGAAGAAAAGTTCAAGGAGAACAAAGGGCTTCATTTAAGTCCAATGGAAAAGTGGCATTGCAGGTAAGTAAAACTAAAATAACCACATATTAAAATAAGAAGTCACTCATCATATTATATCATATTATATTATATTATATTATATTATACTTGGTATACGTACTCTGATTGACTATATACCATGCCCAGCTGTAAAATCACCTTAGGATTTTAGACAAGTGTTTCACGTCTACTAGTTCATGGATTCTAATATAAAAAGCTATAAGGCTTCAGCTTAAAAATATAAAAAAAATTCCCTATGATTTCATAAACCATTAGAAAGCAGGGAGTGTCGGTCAGATTATCAATATTTAATGAATACAACGTTGATTCATTCGCCCTTTGTCACCATGGAATAAAATGAGAAATAATAGTTTTATCTCATATCATGATAAACGCTATAGCATAGCATAAACGCTATAGCGTTTTTGTGAATTCTGGATTGTAAATAACGTTTTGATAACTGTAATTTTAGTGGCGACATACAAGCAAAATAGAATGTGTTAAACGTAAATTTCTATTTCAATATTGTACATTCATAGTTGCCATCTATTAAAGAAAACATATCCGCTTTGTACTTCATTGAATTTCTGCAACTATAACTCTTTTGTGATATGTTGGAGATATTTTGCGTTATTAGAACACTAGTCATCTTTTTCAAAATCAGTTAAGTTATGGATAAACTATGAGTATTGAGTTTTAGAAAATATATAATAGCCGAGGGCCGATAAGCTGGAGTTATTATGTTGTGTTATGTTACAGTATATTATATTGTGTTGCTACCTATATAAGTGGGGTTTAATAAAAACACCTCAATTCAATCAACTGTTTATCCAGTACCCCGGGTCCAGTACTTAATGGTATATTCAAACTCTGAGCAAATTGTGTCCCATTTTTACCCCTATTTGCTCAAATAAGTTGATCGAAGTGACAGATGGGGTGCTAATCCGTTGCTCATATCCTGAAAATGTGCATGATATATTATACAATTTCGTCAGATGAATAACTTCTGTCATTCTTGCAGATTGTCGGTTACAGAGAAGATCCCGATTATTTTCGAAATTGTATCATCTCAGCCCGGGACTGCTATGGTCCTATTTTCGTCTTATGCGTGGTGGTGGATGGCAACGAGGAACAGGATGCTTACATGGCTGAGACAATTACGGAGGTGTTTGGGCATGAAAACACCATGCATATCATCCTTGACGACATAGCTGCTAATATTGACGACGGGAAATGGAAGAATGAGGTTGTAAAGCCGATCTCTGAATACCTTGGGGATGGCAGCGAATACACTGGTAAAATAAGACCTTATGGTGGCAAACATGGGTTCAAGGTTCTCACTATTAGACAACTGCACGAGGGAAAGCGCTCCGCAATGCATTGTGCGATGCGATTACTAATCGATCTCGGAATTGATTATATTATGATGACCGACTCTGATACCCGTCTCGGTCCAAACTCTCTCGCTCATATGATCAATCTGCTGGAGTCTGATAATAACATAGGTGCCGTCACTGGAAACGTGGATATCTTTAACGCCAATAAGAGCCCCGTCTCTTTTCTAAGCGCAGTCAGGTACTGGTTCGCATTCAACATGGAGCGAGCCGCCCAAAGTTTATTTGGAGTCGTTTCGTGCGTATCAGGTCCACTGGGACTGTACAGGGCTAGGGACATCAAACGTATACTACATGACTGGTATTTCCAAACATTCTTTTGCGTACGCTGTACGTACGGTGAAGACAGGCATCTTACAAATAGAATTCTTTCTCTTGGCAGAACTGTAAAATATACACATTTGGCAAAATGTACGACAGAATCACCAACCAATTTAATTAGATGGATTGTCCAACAAACACGATGGACAAAATCGTTTTACCGTGAACTTGGCTTTAGCTTGTGGTGGGCATTCAGAATGAATTTCTATCTCATATGGGTCTTGTTATACCAAGGTGTTTACCCTTTCTTCGTTACGGCTACCATCGTCATAGTGTTATTTTCATCATCTCCAATCAGCGTTGCAACCTTGGGTGTAGTTATGGTATCAATTTGTGCATTAAGAGCGTTAGTGGCAACAGTGATATCAATGAAACCACGTCTCTTATTCTACTTCATGTATAGTTTTTTGTATATACTCTTTCTTATTCCGACTAAGATTATCGCTGTATTGCTTTTATGGGACACCCGCTGGGGTACTTCCAATAGGTTAGACGTGAGCAATGGAAATCCTGTTCATCTCATACCAGTGTTTGTATGGTTCTGTGTCATAATCATTGGTATTACATACAATCCAAATTTGTTCTTTGGTTGGGTAAAGTACGTTTAGAAAACGGGAATTCTCGTTTAAGAGATCTCTCTAAAATATGACTTTATAAAACTCATACTCAGTTGAAAGACATTCCGGAGTAGATTGTACTTTGTATCCTTTTTCAGATTTGGTAGAATATATTATACAGATATCACATGCATTGCGTTATGGGATACACTGGGTAATACAGATGAAAACGAAGACATTATGGTTTCGTTTCGACATGGCCGGTCTTCCGGAAGAAGGATTTAATAACAATTCAAATTATATCTAATTGTACTAATTACCAGATGTCATGTAAGGATAAACTTGCTACCTGCTGTATTTTTTACTAAGTAGAATATAAAGTCATTTCTATTCTGTACGTTACGTTACGTACACGGCATGTTACACAACACAACACAGCTTTAATTTAGATCTAGCTTTGGCTTGTGGTCGCTACAGTTTATTTGTAAATACTAGTATATGTGTACATGTGACAAGATCTTTACAATACTTTTAATAGATATCGTTTTGTAAGACTGTTTGCATGGCCTGCTCATTGTAAATCCTAGTATACGTGTACATATGGCAGAAACTGTGTCGGGTATATTGTACAATTAGTAAAACAGGTTGTATGCAACGTTTAATTGTTGCCTGATTGATATCAAGGTGGTTGATCACCATTAAAACCAAAGATGCTATTCGACTGAAGTCGATGCCCTATGGAAAGGTATAACCCCACCTCTCAACCCATCAGACCCAATCATAGATAAACTCTGTTTGAATGCAGAAATAACTTTTAAAAAATTTGATTAACATTTTTTTGGAGTTGACTGTTCGGCGACCAAGCCCAGAATGACTTCTCTATTCATAAAACTCACTCACTAAACAAGGCCTAACACACAAAAATCTTTGCTCAACTCGAACAGCATGCTACATTACCAAATCATGATTCATGCCTTTTCTTCACTTCACTGCACATATATAGAAAGTATTTATATTCTTAATTCGCTTCGCTCAAACGAATATAAATTTTCATTCTATTCTGTACGTTACGTTACGTACACGGCATGTTACACAACACAACACAGCTTTAATAACGCAGATGCGAGTAGGTAGTTACCAGATTCACCACCAGGTGGCTCGTTCGGGTCAGATAGCATGGCGGGTATAGTAGAAAGTTCCCTTTAACTTAAATTACATCTATTTGCGTGGTTCAATTTTCATATAACCCTTATGTATCTAATAGTTATGCAAATTAAAATATGTCCAGTAAAAGAAAATGTTATCTGTCCAATACAAGAAAAGATAATTCACTTTTTGTGATTTTCTATGGGGAATCAACCCGAACAAGAAGTCACATTTTCAAAAAAAATAAAATTTTCAAAGTTGATAGACAATTTTTGAAACCATATTTCTAGATGTACATTTACATGCAGATTTCAAATATGACATCGCTTTGACTGAATTTTGAATATTAATGACGTAAATCAAGATTATTTCTACTCGCATGTCGTCTATTTAGATCTAGCTTTGGCTTGTGGTCGCTACAGAACACTAGAGAACGGGAATGTAGAAACTTATAATCATATAACTATCCGTCATATTGTTCTAAATACCAAAATATCCATATTTTTGCCATCAAACCTCCATGCGATAGTTTTGTATATATGATTGTTGTTGTCATTATATAATTACTCCTATTAATGTGAGTATATCTTTGCCTTGAATCCGTCGACTGTCCATATGGCATACAAAGTCGAGAAACCCAAATATATGCACTGTGGGAGATTACATCTGTGCGACTGCAGAAAGGATTGGAAGTGTCCAGCCAGGTGTTGAGCCTTACCGTCCATTATGTGACTGACGTAGTCACGATTCCATGATTATAAGCGCTATAAATCGTATTTAGCATCTTTGATCGGTTCTCGTATAGACTGTTGATTCTTCCATCGACCCCGAATCGTTTTTTTTTTTAAAAACGTCCACAGTACCAAAAAAACTGAAAATGCATGTAGCAGCAGTATTTTTGTTCTGAAATAATGATGAAAACGTTTTAATTTTTCACTTTATCATCATGTCTTACATTAACTTGAAACATATAAATTTCTTCTACTCTGCAGAATATGTGAAATATACCAACGTAAATTAACGTATGTTAAATATATATAATTGTCGACTAAAATTTTCTTTACGAATGCAAAGTGTGTCTGCGAAAACAGATATCGTACAAAAATTAACAGACTTCCATGTTGTTTTTGTTCATGACCTTTGGAACACAAATATCAACAGAAAATAGTTAAAATACTAAATAAAACAATACCTACATATGAATACGCCACAAATGACTATCATTTCTAGTTAAACACCTGATTTTGATTTTCATAGTACATATTTATTCAAACATTTGGCACAATATTTTTTCTCTCGTCCCTGTATTTCTTTGTTTAGCAATGTTGTAGAACTTATCAAATTATAATGAACTTTGTTAATTATTGAGGGTAAGTTGTTGAATTTTGAAGTGTAGTTCTTGCTGGATTTATTTACAGCTTTTTGTTACTTTCCTTTGAGAGTTGTACTTATTTTAGTCAAATTTTCGTTATAAGAAAATCTGAAATGGTTGTCTTTACCGTTGAATTTTATAGTCTTGCCGTTTAATAACCTTTAACCTTTCATTATTTTGCTGCTAAGTTTGTATTTATCTGTCTGTTTTACCAATACTGGCTTTGTTTTCAATTTAATTCATAATTTGATTTGTACTCATTTGTTTATTACTTTTACATGATCTGCAAATAATTGCTCATTTTTGTTTATTTTTATTCTATTTTTTGAACTGTTATAGCAATATTTTTCGTATATGCTGCAAAAGTTTGACTTAAATCAAATCAGTTTCCCAGCTAATTTATATCTACCATTAAACTCCATATTTGTCATATCTGTCTTGAGTGGCTATCTAATCATGTCTGCCCAGATTGACTATATTTTCATATCTGCCTTCAGTGGCTCATTATTTATATCTGCCCTGATTGGCTATATATATCTGCCCAGATTGGCTATAATTTTCATATCTGCTTTCAGTGGCTCATTATTTATATCTGCCCTGATTGGCTATATATATCTGCCCTGATTGGCTATAATTTTCATATCTGCCTTCGGTGGCTCATTATTCATATCTGCCCTGATTGGCTATATTTATTTTTTATTTATTTTTTTATTATTTTATTTATTTTTTTTTTTTGTGACTCACTAATCATATCTGCCCTGATTGGCCATTTTTATGTAATAATTAATAATTTTCATATCTGCCCTGATTGGCTATATATATCTGCCCTGATTGGCTATAATTTTCATATCTGCCTTCAGTGGCTCATTATTCATATCTGCCCTGATTGGCTATATATATCTGCCCTGATTGGCTATAATTTTCATATCTGCCTTCAGTGGCTCATTATTCATATCTGCCCTGATTGGCTATATATATCTGCCCAGATTGGCTATAATTTTCATATCTGCCTTCGGTGGCTCAATATTCATATCTGCCCTGATTGGCTATATTTTTTATATGTGACTCACTAATCATATCTGCCCTAATTGGCTATATTTTAATACCTGCCTTCGGTGGCTCACTAATAATAACTTCCCTAAATGGCTATATATATATCTATACAGTATACATATTTTTGGCTCATTGATCATATCTGCCTTGAATTTGCTATGTTTTTCAAATCTGCCTTCCGTGGTCCACTGATCATGTCTGCCCTGATTGGCTTTAATTTTCTTATCTACCCCGGTGGCTTAACAATCGTATCTGCCTAAATTGGCTATATCTTCCAAATTGACCTCTTTGGTTCACTAATAATGTCTGCCCTACTTGAATATGTTAAATGTGCCCTAATTGGCTATAGTTTTCATACCTGCACTCGATGTATCATTAACTAAAATTGTATTTGCTATTTATTTCTAATTTGCCCTGAGTGACTCTTAAATCATCTATCTAATTTTATCAAGATTTTTAATATATGCCCTTGGTAGTTATTTGCCCAAATTTGCTATATTTTGCATATCTGCCCAAGCGTTTTTCCTATTAAAATGCTATTCATTTCGTATTCACCCTCGGTGACTCATTAATCTTTGCAATAATTGGCTAGTTAACATGTCAAGATTTGTTACATATCAATTTATTTATTAATGAATTAATTGATCAGTTTTTCTACCTGCCTTTAGTGCCTTTTTTTTTTTTTTTTTTTTTTTTTTAGTTCAGTAGTTCAAATTTACACATATGCTCCAATCAGGTGCATTTGTGGTATATGCCTTCCATGGCCAACTAGCTATGCTTGCCTTCTATGGCTAATTAACTGTATTTCCCTTGGTGACTCATTTAAATCAATGCCTATAGTGCATCATTTATTTCTAATTTATGTGACTTCTCTTTCGTAAATCTGCAAAAGGTTGCGTTCTTTATATCTCATATTGAATTATATAATATCTTCCTTTGTCTATTTTATAACGTTTATTTTGCAATATATATTATGCTGTTTGGTAAACCTTTGACTAAGTTGCTCTGTGACCATATCCAAAATGATAAATTAACTAGAAAGAATTAAATAAAGTATTTTAAAGCCATCTTGAACTTCAACGCATTTCTTAAAATATAGAGGAACTCTTTAATTTCAAAGATATATCTCTTTTAATGTCGCAATCTGTTTTGTTTATCTGCACTATGTATTAGTACGCCATATATCTTCAGGAGTAATGACACTATCTCAGGAGTAATTTTCGGAATACATACTCTTCAAAAATCTACATGGCTCAGTAAAATTTTGGAACGCATTTTTCTTCTCTTGTGACTGGTTTTATAATATAATTGTTAATATATGGCCATTATTTTAATGACTGAGTAATTACAAGATAATATAATCTTTATTTATTTTGGGTGAGTTTGAAGTTTGAACTGTGTGCAAAAATTTGTGTCATGTGCATGTGTATAAAAAATATCTCTGCCTAATATTGTACTCTGTTTATTGATTTATTTATTATGTGTTCGACAAAATATTTGATATACCGGATATGAACATGTTATTCTAGTAATTTCTATCTATTAACAATCCCATTTAATCTTAACA